AACAAATTCAAGGCATTCTGAATACACTGAAGGAATCAGGTAGACATTGGGCATAAACAGAGTATCAGTCATCACAGAATCACAAAGTAATTTAGGTTGGGAAGAACCTCCAGAGGTCTTTCTAGTCCAGTTCCCCATGAAAAGCCAGGCCAGTCTCCAAGTCACACTCAACTTCAAAGTTAGATCATCTTTCTCAGGGTCTTAGATACCGAGTTTGAAGTCATATGGCTTTTGATTTCATATCCACCTTCAGATGAAGCATCGGGGATGATTATTAAAGAGAGTAATATGCAAAATGACAGACTACAGCTTTCAAAACCAGAAGGAATGTTTTATTAATTTCTCCTTACATTGCATGAACCACTTTCTTCAGACTTAGTGAAATTACGTTGTTATTTTATAGCGAACTATCAGGCTTGCTGAGCCTTTTACAAATATGTGTCAACATCAACGCTGAGCAATGGTCCAGATTTTCTAATGAGGAAGCTGCTTTTGAGCTAGCAATTTTCCCCTGGAACAACTTAAATTCAAACCAAGCAGATACCATCCAAGACTACTGAGCCATGTCAATTCACATATCTGCATCTAATGTATAATTAAGGTTAAACCCCTTCGAGTGCTACTGAATGAACAGCCTCTGATGCCTTTTTTTTTTTTTAAGAACAAATTATAACACAATTATACGTGTAAAACCAGACACAAGTTGTTCTACTGCACTATGTTGTAAGTTCAGCTTAGTGGTTTGCTAACCACTAAGTTTAAACATGTCCAGACACCCTGATGCATGTATTTCCTTAAGAATGTTTTGTTTTTCAAACATTGATGGACAGTTCGTAGAGAGTATAATAATCTTAAAAAAACCCTGAATGTTCCATAAACAGATATACAGGTTGTTAAGTTACAAAGTCACATATCCCTGTCCAGCAGAATGAATACAACTAATTGGAATGAAAACCATTCAAACTTATGTAAGCTATTTTCACAATAAACTGAAATGCTGCAAAGGAGTCATTATTTTCTATGAACAGCAAATATGTGTACTAAAGACAAAATACACAATGTTTGCCTATAAATCATATTCTATGGAATAATTTATGTCTTTCACATCATATTTGGTGAGGCACTGGAATGGGTTGCCCAGGGAGGTTGTGAATGCTCCATCCCTGGCAGTGTTCAAGGGCAGGTTGGACAAGGCCTTGGGTGATATGATTTAGTGTAAGATGTCCCTGCCCACGGCAGGGGGGGTTGAAACTAGATGACCTTAAGGTCCTTTCCAACCCTAACGATTCTATGATTCTATATTTGTATATCTTTGCTTATGAGGCTATAACATTATGTGAACTATAATGGCTGCAGTCTATTGCACAAATTCAAATTTACTGCAATTAATTCTGCAGCGAGATGACAACTGTGTCCACAGGTACAGATGCACCAGACAGTTGTACATAAGATGCACTTAATTTTAGGCAGATGCTGTGATAGAAATAAATATTCATACATAATTCTTAACTCTTAATAAATCCATAAGTGAACCATCACAAATTAGACATAATCCACTTCAAATAAGGTCAAAAAAAAAAGTATTTCCTTCAAAGACACCAAAGGAACACTCCAAACCCTGTAAGTTTCAGTTTTTTCAGCTCCTCCTTATGTTGCTATTAGTGAGAATATTTTAATTTCATCAAGGGAAGAGAGACAAGGGATATGCAAGAATACCTTTCTGAAATTACAGGAAAGAATTGAACAGATGATTTACCTACACCCTAAAGACCCAAAAATAACAAAAGCAAATTAAGATAAAATATTTTATAATATTCAGATTTCTAAAAAATTAACTATTTTACATACTTGAACCACCACTATTATGAAGTACTTGCACAACTTTACCAGTAGTATATGAGAGCAAGGGATTGCTTGCAAGCTATAAAAAAGGCTCTCAAAACAGTGAATGAATGAATGAATGAATGCACACACACATACTCCAAGCACTAGCAACACTCAAGGAAAAAACAAGGTATTATTTCCTGCTATAGCAGCCAATGTAATCATGGTCTGTACAGCTCCTTCTCTCCATCACTACATTGCCCTTTAGATAGCAGTCAGGGGTCCTAAATCTAATTACAATAAAAGTTTTTAATTAAACCTTGAACATGCTTTAACAGCTTCTAGTGTGAGCTTGCCCTTGATGGTGCCACTTGAGGTGCTCTCCTTCAAGGGATGATGAAGTAAATCTCTTTAAAACCAAGGGTGAAGATGCCTTTTTCCTGTGTGTACTACTGCTTTTCACAGCTAGCTAGCTACAAAGCTCTTTGCAGAGGTATCAAGCTAAAGAGCTTTCCCTGTGGGAGCTCTCCACTACCTCCAAAATATACTGCTTGCTAGATTCTCAATGTAGGAGGAAAGTGCACTTAAAATATTAAGGCAAGCACAAAAATGGCCTTAAAAGATGAGCACAGTCCAACTTGGTGAACTTACTGGGAGCCCTCCTACTGACTTTAATGGATATTTTAACACACTAGCAAAAGGCAAAGCGAGAACAGTACAGTTTCTCATGTTCCAGGTCTCCTCAGAGTGCAGCACTGTGTGCCAAACATAAGGAAAGTGAAAGGTTTATTCCAGTCACCTCAAATAAAACAACAATTCGCTTCTTTCCCAGTAGCTTGTGAAACCTGGCCTGATCAGACTGGAAAGTATCTGAGGAAAATGAGTAAAGCTCATACAAGGAACTTGAATAAAACTGGACAGGCAGGAATTTTTGTACAGGACAAAAGAAGCACCAGGAGTGAACACATTTTCAACACATGACATGTAACAAAACTACATTTCATTCGTATCCATCCTCACCCATTCATCTTCCAGCTTCCCATAAAAGACAGGTGACCAATAAAGCAACAAAAGAGATTAGTGTCCTTTTATGCTGTTCCATAAGCTGTTCCACTGTCTTAATGTCTCACTTGTGTGTGTGTGTACATATGCATGTGTGGCAGGCAGACGGATTGATGGGGGAACCCAATAAAGTGTGTGCAAAACTGGGAAGGGGGGCAGGATTTGAAGCAGGTTCTCATTCAAGCCATCTGAAAAGTCTTTCTTCAATCAAGGGGATACTATTTCAGAAGACACGGAGAAGGGACAAAGGATTCACGTTGCTAAGGAGACATGCAGAAGCTGACATTCCTACATAAATTTCCACTTATACTGGGGAAGGAAAAGAAAGCTCTGTGAAGTTTGTCTAGATACCCTGGTAACTGATTGAAAATGACATTTCTTTACAATTTCTTTTGGCATTATGTGATTTGGAACAAAACCCCAAACAAATTCAAACCCTCAAATATTACTCCACACAATGACAGGAGGGAAAAAAAAAAAACAAAACAAGAGCACAGCAGCAAAGGAACCTGTGCAATTCCTACTCAAGCAGAGATCGGTTATTTCCCAGAACCTACACAAAGATTTCAGAGAAGCGAGGAAAAAGGAAAGTATCCAGAATACACAGTAAGCCCCTTGCTTCCCCGCTCCCCCCCCCCCCCCCCCCCAACATCTTGTCCCTGTATGATTTACCCACCGGAGAGCACAGTGATCCAAATGGATGAGTTAGCAACGCCAGCGTGCGTGTAGGGAGGACGTGGATGGGGATGAAAAGGGGAAGGGGGTGGAGAGGAAGAGGCTGGTTTCATTGGTCTTTGTTTCTACTGGGACTCCAAAGTTACTATCAGGCATAAAGTAAATAAAACAACCCATGTAAACCAAAACAATCATGGCACTACAAAACAATTTACTGAAAAATATTCAACAGGCAGCTTGTTTATATCATTCACAACCGTTTTTTTAAGTACGCCGAGCAACAGTGAAATGACATTTAAAAAAAAAAAAAGAAAAAAAAAAGGACAGAATAATCGATGACCAAAATCCTAGAAAGCTTAAGAACAAATGAGCAATAAGAAATCAAAACGGGTAGTGTGACAAACAGGCAAAGAGTATGAAAGGCCAGGGAAAAGATCAGTACCTGCCAGAAAAGACACACACAAGCACAACCCAGGGGGATGGATGTAGGGAGCCAGACTCCAGGCGTGCTCGCTCTGGACAAAATAACAATCGTGTTTGCCTCAGGAAGCCCCAACTTTCCAAGATTAGTGATTTCGGGGTACGGGGGATTATAAAATACTTGATCTCCCTTCTCATATAGCTTCTCACTGTATGGGTACAACTACAACACGGAAAGACAATCAAAACTAGCGCAAACTCGAGCTCTTTCCTGAGGGGGACAGGGCAAAGGGCAGACACGGCACCAGCCAACCCTGCCGCTCACAGCATCCAACCTCACGCCTCCCCTTCACCGCTGCCCATCCCGCGGGCGGAGGGACGAGCCGAGGACGGAGCCGCGGTTCCCCCAGCTCCCGCCGCTCACAGGGACTGCCGCAGCCCGCGCCCCAACTTGCGAGCATGGAGGTGTGGAATCGGGGCCGCGCAGCCCGGGGCGGGGAGGGGGGAAGCACCGGTACCGGGAGTAGGATCGGAATGGACGAAGCAGGTCGGGATGGGGAAGGCTGCAGAGGTCGGGAGGACAAAGGTGCCAGGGACCTTCCCCAGCGGCTGTCAGTGCAGGGAGTAGGGCGGGGAGCAGGGGCGGCAGCGGACGACGCGGGAAGTCCGGCGGGGCAGCAGGAAGGTGGCGGAGCAGGGCCGCGGGCACTGCTCTGGTCCAGTGGAGGGTGGAAGGGAGCGGTCAGTCTGGCCCCCTGAAGGGGCTGGGACCCAGTCCCGGGGGTACAAGGGTGACGGAGATGGCTCGGGGTATGCTGGAGGGGCCGCCAGGGCACGGGGGGTGTGGGGGGTATCGGCCTCAGTGCTCTGGGTGTAGACCAGGAGGAGCAGGAGGCCACCGAGGTAAGAGGGCGGACGGAGGGACGGGGCAGGAGATGGGATGCGCGGTCGTGATGCCGCCGGCGGAGGGGAGAGGAGCGCGGGGATGCCGGGGCAGATCCGGGGCAGCCGTATCTCACCGCTGTGCAGCGTCGACTCGCAGAGCCAGCTGTCCAAGTTGCCGGGCTTGCGGCAGGACTCCCAGAGGGACAGGTAGTATTGGTGATCCGCCGTCACCCAGGCGGGGCTCAGCACGGCTCCCAGGTCCAGGCACAGCGCCAGGAAGATGCACACTAGCCCAACGAGCTTCAGCGGGGTCAGCACCGAGACGCGCACCTCCTCCATGCCGCTGCCGGACGAAGCCATAGGGCCCGTGGGGAACACGGACGAGGAGGAGAAGGAGGACGCGCTGCCGCCAGCCCCGAGGGGAGCAAGAGCGAAAGCCCAGCTCCGCGCCGAAGGGGTGGGAGGAGAGAAAAGCAGTGAAACCAGCGCTGTCTAACGGCGAGGACAGGCCTTCGCAGGCACCGGGCAACGTCGCTCGCTGCCTCCCTCCTTCCTTCGCCGCGATCCCTCCTCGGTGTATCAGGTGCAGAGCTCCCCCTAGCCCCTCTGGCACCGCCCGCTCCAGCCCGGCCCGGCCCGGCCCGACGCGCTCCTCCCCGTTCCCGCCCCTATCGGGCGGCGACCGCGGCGGGGCCCGGCCCGAGCTCCGCCGGGAAAGGGTTGGGGGAGTCGTCACGCCGCGTGCGGGGGTCGGGAGAGGGGCCGGAGCTAGAAACGGTGTCGGGTGCGAGTCCGCGTCCGCTCCGCAGGGGCAAAGTTTGGGGAACTTGCTGCCCCGCCCCGCCGCCCCCGAGCGGCAGCCCCCGGTCGCACCGTACGGATCGGGGCACCCCGGTCTTCCCAGTGGACCTGGGATAGCGCGGATGGCCCGGCGTCACGAGTGGAAGCGGAGAGTGTCCCGCAGGGCCGGGCCGGGCTGTAGCGGAAGGGCAGCGGGGCCGAGCAATCCGGTTCCCACCCGCTGCCGTCGTAACGCGGCGTTACTGGGAGAAACGAGAAAGCGGGAGAAACGGAAGGCCGCCTCGGATGCGGGATTAGCGGTGCCTGACCTTGGTTCCTTTTCTGAAGTGACCTTTAAATCACAAGTTGTTACTGGGAGGTTTAACAAATAATTCAGCGTTTCACTGTTGGTGCGCTGGACGGGCTTGCAGTTCCCGCTTCCTTCTCCTGTCAGTGGTGCTTCTGCTCTGATCCCAAAATAAAGATCCCAAAATAATAACTACTTTGCCTGAGTTTCATTTCATTTCTGTTTGTTTTGCTTAATTATCATTACGGTGCTGAGAATGTCAAGAGTAAATGTTTTGGTTAGTCATTAAACACGGGTAGTAGTCTGATTTGCTGTTTTAAAGTAGGTCTTCATAAGATAGAAACACAAACACGAAGGTAGAGTATAATGTCCATTAAGGGTTATTAAAAAGGAAGAGGAGGAAGATTCAACCAACAGATTTTAAAGCGAATGCTTCTGCTTTGAGGGAGAAATATGGGATGAGAAAAATCAAGTGGGGAAACCCATCATTTAGGGAAGAAACAGAAAAAAAAAAAATCCCTTCCATAAGTGCTAATTATTCTATTGCTACTAATATTACTTAGTTTCTCCACCCTTCCCTTCCCCAAAGCATCAGTTTTCTTTCTAAGATCATCATCTTACTGTAGGAGTGTTCTCATTAATTGCAAAAGGCACAGGATTAAATTCTAAATTTACGCAACTTTGTCCCAAGTTGCTTTTCACTCTATTCATAGTCCTTTAAATCTGAAATGGAAAAAAAGAATATTACTTACACTGAAAGCTCCTCGAAGCACAAACAGCTTTGCTCTTACAGCTGTTCATAGGAGTTAGTGTATGAGGTCTACCCGTTTTCCCAGTGCTATTATGTTAGAGAACGCTTAGATGTATTGCCACAATTTCTCCTTTTCTTAAGTATTTAGGTGTTTCCTGTGTTAAAAACACAATCACAGCTCAGTACCCTGATACCATAGTAAGTGTATCAGAGTGCATATACAGTGATGCTAGCAGAAGCCAGATGCATTTCTAAGGGTTCTTAGCCACAGGTGAATCACCCAACACTGGTCTATCATTAATCCCAAATAAGAAATGCATTTGTCTAAGCTGTTACTGTTAGAACTTGGAAGGAAATTAGATGTTTGGGTTTGGGGGTTTGTGGGGTTTCATTTTATCTTTTTTTTTAATGTCTGGTATTACTTCAGTAAGTATGTACCAGACATTAATATGCTAGCTACCTTGTTTTTTTGAGTCATGTTTTTATTGCCCTTCAATTGTAAAATGTTAGTTATTGAAAGAACAGAGTAAATACAATTAAAACAAATGAGAAAGGATTTTAAAATTGATAAAGAGCATATATGTGTCATGCTAAGCACACTATCTCAAAACTGTTTAAAATGCAGAATCATGGTTCTGTTTTAGTACTTCATGAAAAGGAGAAAATGTCAACATTTTACTAGTATATATGAAAACTTGGGATATTATATGTAGAAATAGCACTGGCGCCTACAGTTAATGTTGCCAGTACTTTCTGTACAAAACTCAATTTGTTTTTGCTTTATTAAACCTTTGCTGTTTGGGCTGGAGTTGCCACTGCAAGATACCTGCCTCAGGTTGATTTTTTTTTTTTTTTTTTAAGTTCCAGCTAAAGTTCAGTCATACTGAGTCTGAAAAACAAATATTTTCACTGTCTACAAAAACCACACACTTCAGGGTTCTCAGTGGGAAGCACAAATTTGATATGCAGTGTACAGCCGTCCTCAAGACTCAAACCCAGCCACAACCTACATACCCTACTACACTTTGCTATGCTTGGGATAGGTGTGTTTGCATCTCAAATTCTCCGAAGATTTCATCTGTAGTGAGCATGCTACATCCATTTACAGCTCCTGTGTCTGGATGAACAGTGTATTGTCAAATGGATGCTTGGCCATACTCCAGTCTCCATCTTCCAGCCACCCGCTGTTCCTGAAGGACCTTGGAGAGACCACTCTGGGCCTGAAAAGGAACACGAGATGTCCACCCTCCTCAGAGATGTTCTGCTCAAGGACCACAGGAGAAACAGCCCATATTGGCAGGTCCACTTGGTCCTAAAGCACCATCAGACATCATGGGTTTCAGGGGTTAGGAAAGCAGCCTGGATTGCCTCATGGAGGGCGAGGAGGGCTGGAAAGAAGGAGGCAGAGACAGCATAAATGTACAAACAAAGATGAAGTGAATAGAAGCAAAACGAGAAAAGACAGCAAGGAAAAACTGAAATAGCAAAGTTCATAATAAAGTAACAAGCACCGTTGCCTCGGGAATTTGTCTTTGACTTAAGGAGTACTGTGACCATCTTTTTTCCGATAGCAAATGGATATGAAATCAACTGGAAAAGTCTCTGCCCTGACTCTCTGGGGGGTCAGTCTGTGGAAGGAACAGATACTGAAACTATTAGTTCAAGTGATAAGGATCTCCTTTGTGTCACTATGAAGACATAACCTTTGCTGATGACATAAATTGCGGGTCAGTGTAATTTCACACAATGTGCATTTCCAATGTACAAAGCACTCATTTTTGAAATGTCTGAATGACTTGCTTGAATTCAGGTTTGGAGCTCATGTTGACAAAGGAAATGAGTCACAAAGATGTTTTGATGTGTAAGATATTATAAGCTTGTTAAATATTCCCAAATATCAGGTCAAAGCATCCAGATTTCTCTTACCATCAGTGGGCAGTTTTGATGAACCTTGATCAATCTGTACATGAAATCCCTCTTAGGAAACAAGGAAAAAAAAAAAACAAACCAGCACAAAGCCCCCAAAACATCCACATCTGACAGAGATATTAATCACTCTTCATTAGAATCCATATGCTAAAGTTACAAAGACCATAGAAGTATTCCAAGAGAATTAATATTGTTGTATTCAATAAAAAGTCAGTATGGAGGTAAAATGGAATAAGTAAATAGTAAAGCTTCTAAAAAGTACTGAGTGCCTGCTTCATTTCCTTGGAGAGGCAGGAATCCTCTGGAAACAAAGCTCATGCTCATGTATTAAATTAGTATGTCACCATTAACATTATTCAGTACATATGTAGAAACAGCTGAATTAAATCACTCTAAATCTTGTCATTTGCAAACTTCTAAGTGCTACTTTGAAACAATATCTTTTAAAATATATTATTCTCCTTATAGCTTAAAATAGAACAATTCTAAATTAAAAAAAAAACAAACAACCAACTAATAAGTAGTATATTTCTGAGATACTTAAGGAAGTTATAAAAGCTAACATTGTACCTTTCTAAAATGACACCCCATTTCTCAACAGAAATGTGACAGAGGTATTTTTTCTTAGGACATTATTACAGCATCAGTGTTTGCCTTTACTTTGTTGTGTTTTTTTTTTTCCTTCAGTTTGTGTTTTGAATATTATAACTTTCCCCTCTCCCCGCTTTCTCTCTGACTTCTCTGTTTTTCCTTTGGCACTCTCTCTCTTGTTCATTGTACCACTATATCCATGGGCTGAAAGAGGAAATTAGTCTGGAAGGTGAACTTTAATGGTCATCTAGCCCAGCCTCCTGCTCAGAACCAGGCCTAATTGGATCAGGTTGCTCAGGGTTGTGTCCACTTGCGGTTTGAACATTTCCAGGGGTGGAAATCCCACTGTCTCTTTGGGTGTGCCATGGCATTTGAATGCCCTTCTGGTAAAAAAAGCTTCTAATATGTAATCAGAATTCAGTGTGTTCCAACTTTTCCCTATCACTGCATTCCCATCACCATGCACCTCTGTGAATGGCACCACCATTTTTGTGTCTCTGGTAAGGAAATGGTAAGATCTCCTTGAGCCTTTACCTCTCTGAGCTCAATTTAACCCATCTCTTTCAGCTTCTTCCCACACATCAAGTGCTCTTGGCTGTCTTCATTGCCATGTGCAGGACTCACATCTTTCCTGCACTGGGGAAGCAAAATTCTGGGCAGAGCACTCTAGAAAGTGTCTCCCAAGTGCTGAGCAGTGGTGGTGGATTGCCCTCTCAGACCTGCTGCTCACATTTTTGCTCAGGTAACCCAGGATGCTGTTGGCCCACTTTGCTGCAGGGGAAAGCTGCTGGCTCTTGTTCAGCTTGCTGCCTACTTTGACCACCAGGTTGTTTCGTGCAGAGCTGCTTCCTAGCAGGTCATACCCCAGCCTATACTGGTACATGGGATAATCCCACCCCAAGGTGCATTCTTGAACTGTGTGAGTTTCCTGCCAGACCATTGTTTCAGCCTGACCAGGTCATTCAGAACCACAGTCCTGCCCTCATTGGCCAGTCCCCCCTCCAGCTCAGCGTTCTCTGAAGATTTGCATAGTGCTCCTCATGCTTTCATAAGTCACAGCTCCAACAACTGTATACCTAGTCAAGGGTCCTTCTAGGATGGAGAGATTGACCCAAATGATAGACACTGCATAAGGGGAACTGAGGGAGACAAGCCTTTTCCCCCTTCAGTCG